TTCACGGCGAGAGTAGAACGGACCGCGGTGGAATTCTGGGAGTTCCTGAGTTACCTGGTTGGTAATTCCGAAATGTCTTGCTTCTTTGACTGATTTGTGACGTGTCCGTGACGTCAATCGCCGGAAACGATCACAGAAAATTTCCTATCGTCTCGCAGATATGACAGGGAATATCGTGCATGCGCTATTTATAGAATCGCTTGCCGGTATGATTTTCCTGTTAACAGCGACGCTAATTACACTGGTAACAGCTCCGAGCTAGTTACCCGAGCGATTATTTAGCAACTATCGGTTAGCTCAACATTCTGTATCCCTGTAAAATTTTCGCTCGGATCGTTGAAAGATCTGTGAAAAAACTATGATGATCTTATCTCTTACGAACAAAAAAAAAAAAAAAGAACCTGCTTTGAGATCTTAGTACGCGATGTAGATTAATTAATCTAGGAGTTAGAATTCTACCTCAGATAGAATTTCATATCGAGTACAAGAGATGAGATTCACGAGAAATTTTCGAGAAGCCTAAAAAAAGTTGTGTAGAAAAAGGACATACGTGGGCCAAATAATTAAAAATAAAACGTTTCTCGTCGCTCGAAAACGGTGAAAATGATCAATCTGCAATTCCTCGTAGAAATTTTCAGATTACAGATGTGCGGTTCTCGGCAATCGATTTTTCGTAAAATCTACGAACGAAACAAAAGCTTGTTACGCAAATTTTCCTACTTCTTGTACTCTCGTTTCTCTGATGCTCTAATAATTCTCATCAACAAAAAAAAAAAAAGAAAGAAAGAAATAATTAAATGACAGTTACGAAACAAACGCTAATCGTAACGTAATATTTTCGAAAAATCAACGCCCTCTCACAGGCGTTACAGGAGAAACACAGACATAAGTCTCGCGTTGAGGGTTAACTTGGACAGGACTTGACGAAAGAGGCTGACTAAAGCGAACGATGGCGATCGAAGTCACCTGGTGTTCGAAAAGCTGGTTTGCACGATCGGTGGAAGCGACGATGCTGGAATCAGCGAGCACGCGGTGGTGGTAGCAGCGGCGGCGGCGGCGGCGGCGGCGATGGTGGTGGTGGCGACGCGACGGCTGCAGCCGATGGACCACCCGAAACGAGGGTGGGGTGGGGGCACCCCCTGACCCCGACATTAGCCGGCGGTGAAGGGAGGCAACGTTTATATGCGGCAGCAATCCGCCCCGTGGACGCATTCGCTCGTACGCTTCATCCAAAGCGGACTCACCCACGAGGAGAGACTCGTTGTTTTATCGTCACAGCGTCGCCGTCCGTTGTTGTTGTCGTTGCCGTCGAGTCGAGTCGAGTCAGACGATCGTCGAATTACGACTTAGAGAGGCAGAGAGGCAACGGAATCTTCGAGAGAGGTTGCCAGTGCGAAGCGGTTACACTCTTGTAAAAAGAGAGAGAGAGAGAGAGAGAGAGAGAGAGAGAGAAAACAGGCCGTCGGTGTATCGGTGATTGCTTGTATCGAGTCAACGAGTCATCGTTATCCCGGTACTGTCCTCGTCGATAAGACGGCGGTGAAAAGCTTCCATCCAGCGATCTGAGATTTTCCAAGGCTTGAAGAGTTTTCACTGAAGAAGAACAACACGGCGGATATGATGGCTGTCGCAGCGGCACAGAAGAATCGCGAGATGTTCGCTATCAAGAAGTCTTACAGCATTGAGGTGAGTGATTTTGGAGTATTTGAAATTGGGGATCGGGATCGCCAAAGATAGCTAAGTAGTTTCCTTGTAATTAACAAACAAAAAAAGGTAAAAAAAAAAAAAAAAAATGAGGAAGACATTTCGAACGAGCATAATCCGATTACGTGTAGATGCTTTCTGTGGTACTGTTTAGAAAGTATCGAGACAGATAATTGTCGAAGGAAACGCGAAGTCAAGTGTTAAACGGTGCCGCGGTTAGAACCGCGGGAAAGCGCGGGAACTTTGCCGCTCGTTTGAATCGCCACGGTTCTCGCGCGTTCTACCACACGTAATTGCGAGCACTCCGCGCCGCCGTACCCGCGTCCAATTAATTTTACTTTCCCGTTTAATTTCGTTAACGTAACGCACGACAACTTTCCAAACGTGATCTTCGATCCTCCGTTCCTTTCCATGAAACGTTCGCGGGAACACGTTCGTCTAACACGTAAGAGGCGCATACATTAGTTGAAGACGGAACATCCGAGATCTGTTAGGAACTTTCTTACACTTTCAGACTTTTATGTTTTGCCTACGTGACTTTCGTGACGGACGTTCGGTGTATATTTCGTAACGGGTAAAAAAAGGAAGAAAGAAAAAAAGAAAGAAAGAAAGAAAGAAAGAAAGAAAGAAAGAAAGAAAGGAAAAAAATAAATGACAAGCTATGCTCGTGTGTGAGCGTGCGTGCACGTACGCGCGAGGCACACGCATACAGACGAGCCGCGCGAGTGAAATTCTCAAACTGGAAACGAAGAAGAGAGGCCCGAAAAGTATAGAGAAAGTACACGCGACTAATTACCGCGATGGTTGCGCAATATCGATAACCTTGCCTTGTTAGGATTCATCGCTATTCATCCCGATTCGGTATTCGTAGTAAACGGATGATCGTTATGAATTTTTCCTACGTTTACGACGCCGAGTTATCACGGAAGTATTTCGAGTTGAAAATCGACCGAGAGAGGCGAAGGAAAGGATTTTTATCGAAGAGGAAAAACATCGAAGGCGACGAAACAGGTGAAAACGACGCGAGAGCCAGGAATCGGCGTAGAGAGCATGCACGTACTTTTCCCTTCGATCGTTTAATTTCCGTAGGAGAAGTTTCACGTGAATTCCGCGCGATTCGCGCGGCACAGGCTGGCATGTGCCATAACATCGGTGCCATAATATCGTTATAACGTTGGCACAATCATCGCCCCATTACCGCGTGTTCAAGCGTTCGAGCACGACGATAAATAGCGTCGCTATTAGCGGCTTAAGTAAGTAATTACAACCTTGATTCTCGCGGTTCTTCAAACGAACACGCGTAATTCCCTCGATTTCACGTCGGAATCACGCGCGGTTTCAGAGAATCGCGTGCCGGCTCGCGAAGCTCGATCCTAGCCCGACAATAATATGTACTATATCCTGGCAATAACGGCGCGCTACACCTTCGAACAGTTATAGCGCAATAACGACTTTCAATCGAGAGCCTCCTCTCCCGAGGCCGTGATTCTTTTTTTCCATTCATACACAGTCACGGGATCTGTGGCTCGGGACGGTCCCTCCGAGAATTAGAATCGCAAGGACGCGTCCCTGCGACGCGTGTGTTTCTTCTCTTCTTTCCTTTTTTTTTTTT